ACTACTTTATTGTGATTTTTAACAAGGCTTTGAAAAGTCTGATTACCATAAAAATACCACCATGCAATCCAAACAAATTATTTTTTAAAGTAATTCGTATGTGAAAAGGAGGGTGCAGTGCTTCTGAAAGAGAAAGGCAGGGATTCCTCTACGTATGTTCGCATGTTCGTGTGGACATGAACTGAAGGGCGGCTGGTACAAAGCTTTTCCAGAAAGCCACGTAATCGTTTCGTAGTTTAGCTTTTACAGCCATGTCAGGTTTAAGAGCCATGAACTGTTGTAGTTTTAAGTCGTACTGTGGAAAATTGGAAATTGTTATCAATTATATCAATTAAAGCTACATTGTCACACTGTTTCATAGCTAAGTAAATGGCATTCTAAGGTCTGTCCCTAGTAGGTATTTTTTTCAGCATGACACTCCTTTTCACTACTTTTAGATAAATGTATTTTTCCTCAATGTGATTTGGATTTTTGTTTTATTACTTGTTGTTAGGGGTTAATAAAAGTTTCGATAGGTGGCAATCTTATGGTAATGTGCTCGGAGAGTTCAAATAAAATTTTCCTAAACTTTAGAAGGGGATTCAGAAAGTACTCAAAAATTCAAATAAGTTTTACCTCAACCATGTTGGCTTTGATGATATCACCTTTTTCTGTTCCAACAACGTTGAATGCACATCCATTGTGCACATTTAAAGAAAATTTACCAGCTGTTTTATWTGATTTTGAATTAATWGAGGCAACTTTGCCAGAARCCACCAATTTTCATGAAATYAAAATTTATATGTATGTTATTACCTGAAGGGGAACAAAGTTTTTGTTTGAACGACGCTTTRAAAACTTTTCAACTCTTTCAAACTCATTCTGAATTCATTTATATTCATGAGATCTCGCGGAGCACCCMACATGTTTATCTAGTCCTAACAATATTGTGGCGAATTTAAACAAACGATCAAATTTATGCATTGATTTTTTACTTATAATGTATTGTTCAATTGTTTTCGTGWTTGTGTTCAAAGTCAAATTCGTGGACGACTAYTTTATTGTGATTTTTAAMAAGGCTTTGAAAAGTCTGATTACCATAAAAATACCACCATGYAATCCAAACAAATTATTTTTTAAAGTAATTYGTATGTGAAAAGGAGGGYRCAGTGCTTCTGAAAGAGAAAGGCAGGGRTTYCTCTACGTATGTTCGCATGTTCGTGTGGACATGRACTGAAGGGCGGCTGGTACAAAKCTTTTCCAGAAAGCCACGTAATCGTTTCGTAGTTTAGCTTTTACAGCCATGTCAGGTTTAAGAGCCATGAACTGTTGTAGTTTTAAGTCGTACTGTGGCCACACTAGACCGATGTCGGCAGGTTTATTGGGATTCCTGTTGTCAACAAATTAGAAATGCATAATTATTTTTTTCCTCTTCCAACGCACCCATCTACCCAAAATTGGTATTCGACGTTTAATATGAAACACTGCCTCTATGTCCGCAGTGGCGGATTTAGGGGAGGGGCCTTGGGGGCAGTGCCTCCCCCTTTTTCGGGAAAAAATTAAATCCTCATACATGTTTTTTTTGAATAAATGTTCTAAATTGAAAAATAACAAGTGAATTAGCTAGTTTCCTAATTAATTCGCTAATTTTAGTG